ACCTGCGCAGTAGATTTAAAAAATCCACAATTTTCCTATCTCTAATTGTAACTGCCGAAAATAGGTACTTAATCCAGAAGTTCAGCAACAGCATGACAGGGTAAACAAGAAGTTTGGCTATAAGTTTTATAAAAGAAACGTGAGTGGAGACTTCAAAATATCAATTCACATGGGATATTCGATCCTGATGGACGTTTTCTATCTAAATTAGAACGGAATTAGTATTAGCCATTATTAGTTATAAGGAGTTTAACTTTGCAGAATTTAGATTTATGTTACGCAGATATACTTTTGTTGGGCGGAATGACAATATATTGTAATACATGGTATACTAAATAATATTCATATGATATGGAAGGCATATTTATTAATGAGTTGTTTTAATCTTATTATTTATAAAAAAAAGCCTTGGCAATACAATATCACAAAAATACTTTGTAGTCTAAGAAGTGCAGATTTATTGTTTATTTTTGATAATACAATTTATCAATGAAAGATAATTCTGTTTATAAACGTCTTATGTGATTGTTAATTCTTACCTAATGGGAATATTGATATTCGATAATTTTTTTTAAAACAGACTCAAAATTCTGATTATAGAGTCGATCATTAGTATATTATGAAAATGAATTAAAAATTTAAACATGCAAAATTATTGGCCAATAAATTCTTTTTCCTTATAAACCATATGGAGAAAGAAAAGCGGATAATTTCTAGAACCAAAATTTTTTGGGTTGTGTTTTACATTATGTGTCTCATTATATCATTTTTATTGTTATTAAGATGAAAAGAAATGAAAATATTTTTATTTAGATGTTTTTTAGAAGGTAAATAATACATTATCATTCTCAAGAAATATATCGTCTTTTTTTTCAATTAATAGCATTAAATGAATTTTAGTTGGGAAATTTAATTTACCTTAAGGATAATTTGAATATTCTTTAAGCCAGAATAGAAAAAAAAAGTGTTTAATCGATAAATGACAGATGATTGCCATGAGGGTATGACAATATTTATTGAAATTGTTTATGTTGAGTAAAGTGTAACAAACAAAAGCATCTTTGATTAAATCATGTAAATCGACCTAATTGGACGGTGTATGGCGTTGAGTTTCCAGTATGTAACTTCAAGAGAAATATTTTAAGTTAGATTGAATCTTTTCTTAATATTTATTATATATTTAATTTATCATGGATCAGCCGTTAAAGTAAATGAAGACACAAAAATGTATACATTTTTTGTTCTTGTGTATTGATAAAGTTTACAAACGAGTACTCATGATTCATTAATATAATGAAAAGCTTAGCGGTAAATTTTTCGTTATATGGTAATAAGCTTGAAGGCGTAACAAGTTGTGGCTCATGTATTTCGGTAACACGATTTGGCACTATTTCAATTAACATATTTACACATATGCACATACTTACTTACGCATCGATTTTACAATCAGATACTACTTGTGTATTAATGTATTATTTTGGATAATGGAGATAAATGACAAACGATTAAATTAATTCAATAATGTATTGCACAAGTACATACTTCTCTTTTCATAAAACTCATTTAAATTACCAAATTACCAATTTCGATTAAAGACTTTATTTAAAAAAAGAAAAAAGCAGTTTCGATTGTTCTTTTTTCCAAAAAAAATACAATACATGAAAGGTGTCATAATGTGTATGCATGTTTGAATTGAAAGTTTAAAAAATCTTACATATTCTATTCATAATTCATAAGAAATAAATAATAATAATAATAAATTTGATTAATAATGAAATAAAAAGGTTACATAATTTTAAATAAAAAATGTGGAATAACTAATTGTTAAAAAATAGAGGACTTTCAAAGTTAAATTCAGTAGAACTATTTAGAAAGAGATCATTAACGTTGTCGCACGGAAAATAATCTGAAGAGAAAGGTAAAATTGGATGTTCGGTTTGCAAATTTGGATTATTGAAACAAAAGCTATTATCACCAGTTGTCATTTGATTTTGATCGTAATTATTAATAGGAGGTGTTGGTGGCTGATATTGAACGCTTTCAGTTATATCATTCTTCTTAAATATATGAGTAACATAGGGAGTTCTTGGTGGTAACAAATATAACGTCGTATATAAAGCACCGTTTTTAAGTTGTTTATTAGATGGCGAAGAATTTTGAGTTTTGTGTTTTTTAGTGCTTTTCTTGTTTGGTTTAGGATTTGTATTTTTACGTTTAAGTCCAGAATTCTTTGTTTCATTAGTTGGTTTCTCACCGTCAGATTGTTCTTCTGGCTCAAAGCGTAAGGTCGGAGAAGGATTTGAAGGATCTTCTAAGGATTTTTGGTCATCGAAATCACCTGAAGATTTATTGCTGAAATCCATGATTTCGAACCTGACTTCATTATCAAAAAATTCAGGTTCTTCATTAAGTTCTTCATGAAATTCTTCATGAAATTCTTCATGATTGTTTGTTGATTCAAAGAATTCTTTTAGGTCACTAATCAATTTTTTTAATTGATCCTCAATGACCACTAATCTATCAATAAATTGCTGAAAACCTTGAACATTCGCAGTTCGTCGTCTTCTTAAATCTGTATATATGCATTCTCCGCCATTTTTTGTGCAATACAAGCAAGGTTTTTTGCTCATAAAATCTCCTCCCGTGCATTTTTTCTTCATATGACGACATCTATCACACGCAATGATAGAAATTTTACCCCTCTTTCCTGTTCGTTTATTTTGCGAAAGTTCTAATCGTTCTTCAACGGATGAAGTTGACCAACTTTCGTCTGAATCTTCGAATTGGTTCGTTGGAGGCATTTATAAATTTGGGTTAAAATCTTTTAAACAACAGAATTATTACGCTTTAAATTTGTTGTGGTCAAAAGATAGTTTCTTGAAAGAAATAAAACTTTGAACGAAGAAAAAATTTTATTTTTTTAAAAAATATCGTTTCATTCAATAAAAAAGGAAAAAAAAAACTTATGAGCGAAGAAAGTTTTTTTTTAAAAAAATATCGTTTCATTCAATAATATATTAATGTAAAGGGAAAAAAAATCTGAGAAGTACACATGAAATTTTACGATTTTTTTGATGGCAAAAATAACAAATAAAAGATTTATATAAATAACAAAATTTTTAGAATAAGATAACATAAATTATTGTACAGATAAATAGATGTGCACGAATATTCATAGGTTGTCCATTGTTTTTGATAAAAAATAAAAAGGAAATAGTTTTATAATCTTAAATCGTTTACTATATTTAGACAGTCAAAGCGTATGGTATGGAAAATTTCTTCCTTCCTTTATAATGTTAGCATCTCGGCTATTTTAGTTCACTAAAAGTTTTAAAGAAATTTATCTTTATTGAAAGAATTGACTGATATTCGAGAAAGTTATGGAACTGCAAATGTATGTACATAGAATACGAGTAACAAGTGTGTTACCAACACGCATATTACTCATCTACTGTACGTATGTACGTACATATTGTATGTACTGTATATATATGCATACACCGCATTATTTTACTATGACTAACACTTACTTGAATTTAAAGTAAATAGTATATTTCGGTTTTTCAAGAATTATTATGCATATGTTAGATCGAGTCCTGAATTGATTATATTCGCTTCACCAATTTGGTTGGATTATTTTACTAATTAAGCTCTCACTTTCAATAAACCTTCGATTCTTTTAATAATCATTTTTTACTTGAATTTAAAGGACCTAATATTCCGAAAATAAATGATCATAAGGTATAAATGATCATAAGGTCTAGGCATGATTAGACGATTTGATTATTAGATAGGGGTATCAATCAGGTTGTTCGGCCTTAATTGTTATAATAATAGATATATAAACAAGATAAGTTCTAATTAGAGATGAGTAAAACTATCTCATAAGTTGGATCACATATAATTATATATAAACCTACATTATTTTTACAATAGTCAAGTTATTAATAGTTTACTCGGGTACATTTTCAGATGTCGATGTTTTATACTATCGTGTACAGTGAATACAAGCCAAATTCACTCAAATATGTATATTTTATCCCAACAATATAGTGATATTAAAAAATTCCCATCATATACATATCCGATATTCGCCGACATTGATAATTGTTCATAATTATGTTAAATTTATTTGTATATTATAAATATATTCTTGTTTACAAAATAAATATTATTGTAATGTAGTATCAATCTATTACGGATTAAATCTATCAAGTCAAATTATGTCTAGGTATACTGCTAGATCACGTGACACATGTCGGATAAGATTGTCGGAAGTTGCAAGTTTGCCGCGCTTTAATATATCGGAAGATCATAAACAAACAAATTTATCCTATACCACTAAATTTGATTAATATCACATGACCATTTATCCAAGTACTAGAGAAATGTTTTATTAAAGTTAGAATTAAAATATTTTAATATTAAAAATAGGTCCTTCAATTTCTTTTTTATTTTAAGCACAACTTCATCTCACTTGTACATATGCAATCGATCTGTACCACTAATATTTGTTGATTTTGTCACGAGCAATTCCTTCATTGGTCTATGAAATTTCTAATAACCTATTTTAATAAATCGTCTTGCAAATTTGCGAATGTACAGTAGAAAAGGTCTATCATAATAAAAGAGTAAAATGAAAATAGAAAGTTCTATTTAACCCTCTAATTCACTATCACTTAAACTTGTTTACAATAAATTCTGCCCCTAAATTTGAAAATACATCGCGGAAATTCATAATTTTTGGTAGCTTATCTATTTTAGACTATATTAGACTATATTTAAATTTCATTTTAATTTAATTTCGTTTTAATCTATATTACATATACTAAAATACTCAGCGTTAAGTATCAAATCTTGAGTATTGAGTATATAAGTAAAGGTTTGTTACAACAATATAAACTAGACTACAATTACTACAATTAAAGTTAGACTAATTTAAAAGAATTTTTCATATGACTTCTTATTGGTTTTTCTTTTTTTAAATAGATGAAACAAGCATGCAACCGTTGTCTGTTATCGATAAATATGTTACCATTGTGTGCAAAGATAAGATCAAATCCTTAATTTGAATAATATTATCGGTAAATTTATATTTAATTGGTAAAAAAAAACATTCAATATGTAACCATCATCTATCAAAGAACTTTGTGGCAAAGTAAAAATGACAAAGAATTGTTAACAAGCACGACAAAAACGGATATGCATCAGTGCCTTGTGACCAAAGGGTCAAGAATCTTTATGCACGCAAATATTTGCATTCGAATTTTAAATCGAAATTTTTATTTATAAAAATTTATGTATTTAATTATGTATTTAAATTATGTATTTAGATTATGTATTTAATTATTTAATATTTCATGTACATAATTATCCAAACCATTCAATAATTACATACAGTTTTGTCTACTTTACACGAGGCATTAGCTTTAATTCATCTTATTTGTAATTCATTATTATGTAATAAAATAATAAAAAAAAGGCATTCACTTTGAACTCCAAACACGTACATAGTCAACGGGATATAATCATCATAAGCTTTCACAAGTTGATTCTTGTAATAATATCAAAAGTAATAACAATGTAATATATATATTATAAAAATTTCCTAATGCTTCATATTTCTATTGTCTAATTTAATCTAATATGATCGACATGATAAATACGGATCATTAAGTCCGTTTGTACATGTAAAAAGGTTGTTCTAGCTCTAAGCATGAAGCATTCCATTAGTAATTATATATATCATATATCACATTCTTGATGTTATAATCATTTTTGGATTATCTTATCATCCTTTTATGACGAATTTTTTAAATTGATATGAAATAAAAAAAAAACCCTATAGGAATTTTTTTTATCAATTAAGGAAATTTCATAATCGGAATTCGGAAATCATTATATATTCGTTGATGATTATTTGAATTTTTGTGATTATCCCGAAAATTACCATATTTAATCTTATATCCTTATAAGGTTTAGTTTATTCACACAAGACTTATAAACATTATGATTATCAATATTTTTTATTTCATGCGTATATTTTTTTATAATGTTTGTGGATCATTTCCAATTACCGTTACATCTATTTTTTTTCGATCATTATCAATACAACAATGATATCGTTATGTACATATGATGGAATCATTTGTCTGATATTTTTGGTTATAAACCTAATTTCTTTTTTGTTATAGCAAACACTATATACGAGAGGATTATAAAACACTATATACGAGAAGATTATAAAAATCTATATATCATATAATATGGTCCGAAAATAGTTCTTTGAATTGTTCTATCGATAAATTAGGAATAAATATTTCTAACTGTAGGTTATACTTATTTTATGGGTATTCTTTCAAAATACTTATAAATTATATGTGCATGTGCATAAAATTGTCATCTCTGTATGATCAGTCAAATGATACGGCCGGATAGCGTCATATCAAACACAACAGAATTCTAGATCAAAAAAATGGAAATTGTAACCGTCACAGCCTGACCAATCAGATTTCAAGATCATGTGTAATGTAAAAAAGATCCGTGACAATTTAATCCAACAAAAAAAAAGATGCTTAGAAATTCCTATGAAAAATGCCTTCTGCGTACTAACAAAAAAAAAAAAAGGCATCACGGCCGATTTGTGGAGTATGACCATTATATTTTAAGTTATAAAATTTAACTAAATAAAGCTAATATTTAAGGCCCTTTATTATACGTATAAATATCAATTCGGATTTTTATTAAGATAAGTAGGGTTACAAATAAGATAATACTAAAAATAATACTAATCAATACTAACATTACACTATTGTCGTTATTTAAGTATATTACTATAATAGACATTAAAGTATTTTATTTTCTATTCTAAATGCAATTCAACTTATCCTCCAAAGACACTAGGAAAGTACAATTCATATAGTTTTTTTATTACTTAATTAGTTTAGAACTTCCCTCGATAGTTACTAACTGTTTTCCCTCCCTTATAGGTGGTTACTACTTTATCTTGATAAGTGTTAACTACCCTCGGTAGTTTGAAACTGATCCTCATAGCTAATGTCTTACCAATTCCCTAAATAGTATACTACAAGGAACGTTAAAGCCAGGTACCAGCTATAGTTACTTTTTTGATGCAGTTATGGTTAGTGAGTTATATAAATATCAAGAATACAACTTATGCAGTTTGTAGATCATTATATGGACCCTCCAAGAAAGGAAATAAGGAGTTTTAATAAATTTCCATTTCGGGCATTACAACTACGTAAGTGAACTGCAATCTTAGTAGTAGATGTCTAAGCCCGGTACATTTATAAAATGATCTACATATTGCATAAATTGTATTCTTGATATCTATATAACCCGTTAACCCTAACTGCATTAAAAAAGTAACTCTGACTGGTACCTGGCTTTAATGTTCCCCCCTAAAAAGGAATAAGAAAATAATTACGTAGCAATTATGCAGCAAAATGTGGCGGTACTGTTAACTTTGCTTATCGGGTTAGTTCGTGACTGTGAAAAGATTTTTCTAAACAGGAGGAACTTTCGATGTTACATGACTAATCCCACACCTGGTGTACAGCGCATAAAAAAATTATTTTACAATAACCGAGCATTCCACTAGTAAATGTTACGGCTATAATCCTTCACCTGTTTATTATAATCAAACATGTGAGGAATTATAATCGTAACATGGACAAACAGAATGATTCGGTATTGTAAAATAATTTTTTTTTTTATATGCTGCACACCAGGTGTAAGATTAGTCGTGTAACATTGACAGTTCCTCCCGATGGTTTCCTAT